TAACTACAATAACAAAAGATAAAACAAATCCCCAAACACAAGGTTCAGGACAGAAGGAATGCGTAGTTCAAGGTTAGCCAAGCCTACTTATATTGTACACCCAGCTACCAAATACAGAAACAATTAAAATTTAACAGTTAAACAAAAGCTAAGTAATCTTAGTAAACAATGTCATCCTTAAAAATTGTTCCAATTGAAAACTCAGCCCTTTCGTTATAAAATAAAGCTCATAAGACTTGCGTAGACAGTGATACAGTTTAAGAATGAACACTGGTTCCTAACTAGTGCCAGTATTGTTGGAACACTTGCTGTGTGTGTGGTCCCCTGCTATCAATTAAAGAACTGTTGAGTCTCATCACTCCTCCCATCTAGGCTTTCTCCAAAGATTTGTAATATTCAGTCAGGACTGCCCACGCTTTCGCTGCCATGAAGCCTTCTGGTGGATTCACTCCTTCCTGCGCCAACTTACGCATGCGTGTTCCAGAGATGAAGTCGAAATCTTCGTGGCTTTAAATGAGAAAACGAAACACAGGAATTAAAGAATTGGAATCTGACTCGCTCAATAAAAAAATGCATTCTGCACCAAGTCCTGTATTTTTAGTTTTGGCATACTTATTTCCTTCATTTTCAAACCAAGAAGGCAGTAAGCAATTTATATAAGGCTGGGTGAGACTGTAAGCTTTCATAGCATGAAGTCAAAATAGCAATATCTTTTAAGCTAATTCAGTGCAGCCCTTTTCTAAATCATCTCTGATGAGATCACTTCCCTCTTGAACCATCTTTTTAAAGACTGTTTTGAGGATTTGTTAGCCTCTAATTTCTTCTTTCTCCCCTTGTGGTAAACCCTGATTTGCAGCTGAGATGGTGGGTGGGCAATCTGTTTCTAGCCCTCTGCCTGTTATGAGGAATGCAAGAACAGCCCAGGGAGCCCTTTCCGATGGAGAAGTACTGAGCCTGCATATCTCACCTGTATAAAGTAACGCAACAGAGACTGGAAATGTAAATCTGCATTCATCACAATGCACTACCACGCTGGTGTTTTGCTGCATTTATTTATTTTAACCCTTTGTGCACTGTCCTTTTGAAGGTGATAACATTTGAGAACACAAGGCTCATCTGTCTGTCCCAATGCTCAAAATGATCTATACCAATTATTTGCTTAAACAATCGTCAAAAGTTAGAAAATGTTATGAATTATTAGTATGCACATTCTATCGTAGTTTTAGCAGATCCAAGAGGGACACGATCTGTCTCATCAGACCTGCACTAGCTTTCTGAAAGTGTTTAATTCAGTGCTTGTTATTTTCCCATGTTACTGCAACATTTTCCTTTTCAAGTACATTTTCCATATTGTAAATATTCTGTAAAATATAGTTCATGCTGTACAGAATATAGAATGCGACATTGTTTCAACTGTACATCACTACTCATGACCAGAATGGATGAGACTGAAAAATTCCCTTAAAAATCATGCTTGGACATGAGTGTGCTGTTGAGTAGCTGCCCAGGACTGATCTTATCCACCAGTTCTATTTGTTGGAGTTTGCAGACTTTTTAAAATACCTTTTTTAGTGGTTCCTGAGTAAAACTCTGCTTGCCTTAAAATATTGTTTGACTGCAAGTCTTGACACACTCCCAAACCATTACCTGATGTAGTGGTGGCAAAAGATGTTCCATTTTTTCCCCACTATCCAAGACCATTAAGATGACATTTAAGTGAAATGCTATGGCATGACCGATGCTATTTTCCCTATAGTTCACTGGCAGCAAGTGGACCATTGTTCATAGAACTCCAATATACACCTTCTCACTGTGTCACTATATACTGAAAGTGAATGAATGAATGAAAGAAAGATTTATTTATTGTCACATATATCTTGAAGGTACAGTGAATACAGTGCCACAATCTGGCACCATATTAAGTTACAACAAGGCTAAAAAGAAATTACTTAAATAGGAGTTCATCTTCTGTTCAAATTGAGGTCTCAAGCAGGGTGCCTTCAAGGTCTCTGCAGGGTGTTTCGGTCCTTAAGGAGTCTGGCTACGGGAACAGCAACAACGATGTTGATATCCCAGGAGACCCCAACTCCACCTCAGGCAAGAGTCCAGGCTCCAGACACTGGCACAGCTAGCACCAGGAGTCCCGGTCCATCCTGCCAACATCACTCTGGCCTCAAAGATGAAGCAGTAAGGAAGAAGAAGAAAAAGGAAAAAAAAGGCAAAAAGTACAGAGAGATAAACGATACCGCCAGCCTGAAGCAGACGGGCTCTGATAAGGCCAAACACTGCCTACTGTGCCGGCACTATCTTGGGGTATCATCTGCCTATGGCAGCTTAATGCCCAGTAGAGATTTACACGTCACAGGAACAGCAGGAGGCCATTCAACCCCACCATGGCTTATCTATACTTCAAATTGACTTATTGATTTTTGATCTGTAATTAAAAAAAAGTCCTCCATTTTAAACAATCCCACTGTGTCTGCAAGCCTTAAATATAAGTCTCTCCCCAACTGACAGCTCTTGTGACAGCAGTGGAGCCCCTACCCCTAAGCTAGGAGGCCCAGGTTCAAGTCCCAGCTGATCCAGAGGCATGTAATAACATTGCCGAACAGGTTGATTAACAATAGCCACAGATCTGCACTGGTAATCAGGCACATAATGCCCCACTTCCTACTGAAATATTATGTTGTACTGGATCCAGTAACTCCAAAATCAAGGTCATGTGGTGATGGGGAAGCTGCTAAAGCACAGTGCATTTCTGCAAAATGTACTGGTAGCAAACTTATTTCAAAACTTGTAATAAAACAGCTAAGTGAAGTTAATGCTGCAATTTAAAAGAAAAACATTATTCATATATTATGTGTCAGGTTGATTCAGCTGGTCCAAGCAGTTGAACTGCTTTGGAATATTTCCCCTATTAAAAAGGTTATTACATTTTTCCTCAATTACATCTTCCTTTACCAGCCCAAGGGAACCTTCATCTTCTGAACGGTCCTGATGACTGAAGCAATTGCACTCACTATGCAACAAAATCTCATACTTACTGTTCAGGGTCATAATAGTCCATGCATTTTTTCACCTTGTTATAGGCAGCCACACGAAATGGGATGATTTCCAGAGACAGTAGGCCTGGAGCCATGGTCAGAACTTTTGCCCCATGTGTCGGCTCGTACAGATCCTTCTTAGTCTCTGGATGAGGCATACCCGCAGGGTCTCGGCCCACTATGTAGAAGTTAGCCCCGGCAATCATACGGGATCTACAGTGCCATTGAACCTGTAATGAGAAATGTGTGCAATATGTGAATTAAACAAAATTAAATTGCTCATTTTTCCTGACTCTTATGAAGTACTGAACTTTTACTTTGATAATAAAAATCAAATGAAAGCTCAAGTTTTGTAACTTCAAGCCTCTTTTCCAAAAACTTTTCCTCTGATCTGGCCTAAGAAATGTTTATTTGTCAGACTGTACAAAAGATCCATTTAATTACCGTAATATACAAGGAGCACATTCATCATAAGTTCAAGTCACTGCTAATTCTTGAAATTTCCAAAAAGGTAAGACATTTCTTTCCAAAGTGCCCTGAACTGTTGCTGTGCAGTTGATGGCGCGGGTCACATTGCTGTTTATCAAATATCTATATTTTAAATATGAGGTACTCAACCTTTCCTATGTCTTGCTTTTCTTATGGTGTGCAGCTTAAAACCTAAGACCTACTGGAAACACAACCCACAGGGCAGAGGAATCAAACTGGTATTTTGCAATGTCTCCGTGAGAGTGGATACAAGTAACATTCCAGAAATAGCTGTAAATCAGGAAATGGGGGAGGGAGAAACCCAAGCAAATGGCAATCACCACTGAAGTGGTACTGAGCAAATCATTGAAGTTGCAGGCTGACGAGCCCCCATAACGTGCTGTACTTCATTCTTAGATCATGAGAGGCGCCTGGCAATCTCAACTTTGATAATCGTTTCTAAAATCTTACCAAAGGCGGAGGTCAGGCTAACCAGCCTATAATTTCTCATCTTCTGCCTCCTTGCCTTCTTAAACAGGAGTGTTATATTAGTCATTTTACACTGGTCAAAGACCGTCCCTGACTCCATTGATTTCTGAAAGGTCAACACAAAGTTTCCACAATCTCCTCAGCTATCTCTTTCAGAACTATGGGTTGTAGTCCATCAGGTCTGGATGATTTATCGACCTTCAGACCTTTCAGCTCCCTCAGGACCTTCTCCTTAGTGCCTCGCCTCTGCCTGCTGACTCTTGAAGTTCTGGTGTTCGAGTGTCTTCCACTGTGAAAACTGATGCAAAGTATCTGTTCAGTTCCTCTGCCATTTCTTTGTTCCCCATTACTACTTCTCTAGCCTCATTTTCCAGTAGTTCAATGTCCACTCGTGCCCCTCTCTCACATTTTATATATCAAAAAACTCTTGCAATCTTTTTAAGTTTTTTTTTATATAACGAGCTAACTTAACCTCATATTTCATCTTCTCCTCCTAACTGTTTTTTTCTGGTTGTCCTCGGTTGGGTTTTAAAAGGCTTCCCATTCCTCCTAACCACACAATATGCTTTTTCTTTTGTTTCTAAGCTGTTCCTGACTTCACTTGTCAGCCACAGTTGCCTCATTCTCCGGTTAGTATATTTCTTCTTCCACAGGACGATTTCTGCAGTGCCTCCTGAATTATTCCCAGTATCTCCTGCTATTGCTGCTCCAACATCTTCCCTGCTAGGCTCCCCTTCCAATCAACTCTGGCCAGATCCTCCATTATGTCTTTGTTGTTACCTTTACTCAATTATATTACCGTTATGTCTGATTCCAAATTTTCCTACTCAAACTGCAGGGTGAATTCTGGTCACTGCCCCTTCGAGGTTCCTTCACCTTAAGCTCCCTAATCCAGTCTGCCTCATTATACATTACAAATCAGAACTGTCTGTTCGCCTGTGGGCATCACCACAAGCTGCTCCAAAAAAAAAGTCTCGCAGACACACTACAAATTCCTCTTCTTGGAATCTGCTATCAACCCGATTTCCTCAGTCATCTGCACATTGAAATCTCCCATGCTGGCTGTAATAGTGCCTTTCTTGCATGCCTTTTCTATTTCCTGCCTCACATCCTGACTACTAGCAGGCCTGTATACAACTCCCAAGAGGGGCTTTACATCTTTGCGATTCTTCAACTCTACCTACACAAATTCCACACCTTCGGGTCCTATATTGCTTCTGGCTGTCAATTTAATTTCATTTCTTACTAACAAGGTGACCCTGTCCCCTTAGCGTGTCCTTTCGATATGTCACATCCTTGGATATTTATTTCCCAGCCCTGATTCCTTTGCAGCCATATCTCTGTGATACCCACAACGCCATACTCCAAATTCAAGCTCTTTCACCTTGCTTCGTATACTGTGTGCATTTAAGTACAACACCCTCAGTCATGCATTGACCACCCCCCCTCTTCTCATACCTATGCCCTTATTTGCTATTAGATTCTAGATACTTTCCACTTTACTTATTCTGGAAGGCATGGTTACTAAATTTACTGATGACACAAACATAAGTGGGAAAGTTAGATGTGGAGAGGGCAGGAGGCGGCTACAAAAGGATTGAGATAGTTTAAATGAGTGGGCAAAGGTCTGGCAAATGGAGTACAATGTGGGAAAATATGAAGTTGTCCCTTTTGGCAGGAAGAATGAAAAGGAAGCACATTATCTAAATTGTCAGCGATTGCAGAGCTCCAAAATGCAGAGGGATCGAAGTATCCTTGTTCATGAACTGCAGAAGGTTTGCAGATGTTAACAGCAAGTAAGTCGAAAAGCCAATAGTGCGTCATCATTTATCGCAAGGCGAATGGAGTACAAAAATAGCGGACTGGTTATGCTTCAGTTATACATGATGCTGGTGACACCATATCTGGGCTACTGTGAAAGTTTTGGCCTCCTTGATTCAGGATGGATGCAAATGCACTGGAAGCAATTCAGAGAAATTTTAGTCAATTAATACCTGGAAAGGGTGGGTTGTCTTATCAGGAAAGGTTAGACAGGCTTGGCTTACATTTACTAAACAGGGTGACAATATGTTCAGCACCATCTGAATCAGGAAAGTACTGAGCCACATGGGCAAAACTTGAGTATTGCTGGAAAAAGAAACAATTCTCGCAAAATCTTTTGGCTTGCACTCATTAAGACAACTCAAGAAATAAAGGGAAAACAACATTTATACAGTGTGTGAAGAGACTGCTGACTAGATGGCAAGTGGACATTGAAAGGTAGAGGTGCTACCATGGAGAATGCACCAGTTAATGATGACTGACAGGTAACAGAAAATAGCTGGCAGCGATTCACTGGGTGATTCCTTGACCACAGTCAACTTGTCTGGTCTGAAATTTAAACAAAACTAAGTAGTTACCAGTGAGTCAATAACTAATGCATTCTCCATGGCAATACCTCTACAGATCAGAGGCCACTTGCCACCCAAATGAAAAGATGTATTTTTTTCAGCAACACAAGTTCTGTACTATCACATGACTAAAAGACAAAAATGTAGAACAAGAGCCAGAGGAAGTGGAGAGCACGTTCTCAGAGGCTACACTTTGAATAAGGAATTTAGTGCTGGCTGACAAAGGATGATAAGTCTGGAGCACAGAACAGGTTGTTTACCAGTGTCACATGCCAGGGTTACTAGAAAGGACTGGACAGATCTGGATCACTCAACTGGAAAGGCAGCGTGAGAGATTATATGTTACCAGCAGAGAAAATAGTTAAGGGAATGGACAATTTAAAAGAGAGGGTACTGTTAAATATAACTCTTAAATATAACCTCGAGTCCAAAAATAGGTATAATTTTAAGTCATTCTCTGCCGTTCTTTATATTCCATCAAATAGTCTGACCTGCCACACATCATTACAGTTAGATGTTTATTCCTTAAGTTTGTTGCTTTCCTTAACTTTTTTAGTTAATCATGGACGGTGGGTCCAGCTTTTAGAACTTTTCTTTATGTTAGGCATATACAAATTCTGAAATACCCTTTTAAATACCTGCCACTGTTTTACTATTAATCGACCCCCCCTAGCCTAGTATCCCAGTGTGTTTCAGTTCTCTCAGCTTCCTTGCGCCCAGATTTGCCCTTATTTAAGTCTAAAATATAGCAGACTTATACCCAACTCTTCCCTCTTCAAACTGAATGTAAAAATTCAATTGTATTGTTGTTACTGCTACCTAGCAGTGCCTTTACACCGAAGACATTCATTAATCCTGCGTCATTACACAATACTAAGTGCAGTATAACCTGATCTCCGGTTCCAGAACCTGCTGCTCTGAGAAACACTCTCAAAAGTATTCTACAAACTTATCCAGGGTACCATTTAATTGCCAGTTTTTATATGCTGAATGTCAACTGCAAGACTAAATGCTGTGACATATAACCATCTCAGCAGAAGCTAATATTTATTTGGCTTTCTCAGCCTTAACTTCACAGCAAAACTCTTACTACAGTTAAACAATATCAGTTCAAGCCCCAAACCCCATTCCACAGGTTTGAGCATGTAATCAAGGCAGAAATTTCAGTAATGAAATACCAAAGGGTACATTGTCTTGTCTAAGCTGCAACTTTTTTTGTTAAGACATTGAACAGATGCCTCATCAGTCGTTTCACATGGACATAAAATAATTTCATGCGATTTATTAAGAGCAGGGGAATTGTCCTGCTAACCTGGCTGGCGTTTATTCTTAAGTTGTTAATTCTTTAATTAACACTGAAAAGAGTTTTGAGTAAAAGAAGTGCCAGAAAACACAGCAACTTAGGTAGCAATCTGTGTAGAGAAACCGGTAAACATTTCAATTCCATGACCTTTCACAAGAACACGTTCTACCCATGTGTGTCATTACTGGTTGGGGGAATGTTATTGCTTGCAAATTGGCAGCCCCATTCCATATATCACAACCATGGCTGCACTACAGGAATACCTAATTGGCTGCAAAGTGCTTTGGGACAGCCTGAAGCTGTGTAAGATGTTATATAAATAAGTGCTAACTCTTTCTTTTATTCATCTATAATGTGTATACTTAATCTGAATAGTTCATCTCCTCTACAAATGGGATATGTCCCATGTGCAGTACAGGTAAATATGCCACACTGTCAGTTTTTTGCAGAATGGTTACTGTGGCATCAAGTGAATACTTTAATTGCTGCACTGGACAGAACTGATTCCCTGCCTCACCTCCTCCCTAAATAATACAAAGACTTAGGTAAAATGTATTTGCTCATTGTGCTTTAAAATGTGAATTATTTACAGTATTGCACTCTAGGTGTGAAATGTCCTGTTCTCAATATACTGTTTTGTTGTTCAGAATGCCAAACACACCAGACCAATCTGCCATCTGTACAGACTACCAGTACAGGATGTAGAGACTGCCAAACCCACAGATTTGGCAGCAACAAGAAAGTTTTACCACAAACTATTCTGGAAATGGGACTTTACGGGCGGATTCAACAACAGAAAAATAGCGAACACATTGCTTTCATTAGGCAAAATCTGTGCTTGGAAACAGCAATGGTCCATAGCAGCTATAGAAAGATTGTATGCTCAATGTAACAGCAATTCACACATGTAAATAGCTGCTTAAGGGCTGGCAACCTTAGGAGTTGTTCTAGAATTGTGTCTCAATTCTACTCCTATAGGAATAGTTCAATATGAAGGCTAAATAATGACTTGAGAAACTGGCAAATTTGCATGGGTGATCTAGTCAAGTGTGTTGTTATCACTCTTATGAATCCCACTTTGTGTTAGCTTCTTAGCTTACCCAAGAGGACAGAGTTTGGTGGCTAGTAGGAAATGACCAAGCACACTAACCAACAACACTCTGGGAGAAGGGGAGACACCTCAACACAGCTCATAACATCTACATTTGCATTGCTCCATTACTGGATCATTCATTATGAGGAGCCTTGAAGCCAATTCTTTTGTACTCAAGAAAGTACAAAATTAAATCTATTAAAATATCACTATATTTTGTGGTGCAGTGGTAGTGACCTCACCTCTGGGCTAGAAGGTCCAGGTCCAAGTTCCACCTGCACCAGATTTGTCTTGTAATATGGCCAAACAGGTTGACTAAAAATAGTTCTTTTAAATAAGAGTCAAATATGTAATTCAGCGATTGTGTCTTATTTCCAAGCTTTTGAGTTTACCCACCTACAATTCTATTTCAACTTTTGGACTGCAGCAACTGGCTATAGTGAGAAAAAAAACGTGGAAAACTGGATGATTTTAGCTAAGTTCAAAATAGCCATACCACATTCTTCAAAACTTAAACTTTTGAAATTGAATGCTGGATTACTGATTCAAGACAGCACAAGGCAAGAGCAGAGCTAAAGAATTTTAAACAATTTTAAAGTGTCCAGTTCATTTCAAATGACATAGCAGGAGATCAACTAACAAAATTATATCATACAGGTGGTGGTCATTCAGCCTATTGCCCCTTTGCCCATCTTTGAAAGAGCTCTGCAATTAGTCCCCTGGCTTCTTACCCAACATCCCACAATAATTTTCTATCATACTCAGAATAAAGGTTATTGGGTCATGTCTTGCAATATTATTTTAGGCCACTGGGAGCATTATAAGTAACTAACTTAAATCATTACAGACTAAAAAACATTTATGCATTAGAAGTAGAATACCACAAAATTACCATGTATTTATAATAATTACAACATAAATCAAGTAGACTGTCTCCATTACCATACATACCTTCCAGCTGCTTTAGGCTTGCAAAAATAAGTGTTTTCTTAAAAAGTAAACACTACCTCTACTGTTTGCAGTTTAAGTTGCTTACTTAGCTACTTTTGGGGGGCCTTATGTTAGGGCCCTTCTCTTTCAGAAACCATTTAAGTGCATCTTAAATTGATTGCTCAGAAGGACATCAATTAAAGTGATTCGGGATCTTGAACATCTGGCTGCCTTGGCAGGTAAAGCACAGCAAATTCAAAAAACAACTGTACACATTCTGGCAGAGGCTTATACTGAGCTTTTCATACTTTATGTGTGTATTTGTACCTAACGTAAATTGCTAAACTTCACTGGTACACCACATCTGATCAGGCCCATGCTCTCGCACACAGCCTAAAGTCAATTCTGCGATAAAAGGTTAGTTAGTAAAATCTCAGGAACATAGTGGTTTTAATTGTGCCCTTCGTCTAGAAGTTTCTAAAACTAATTGCTCGTACCTCCACATGCAAATTAATCCAGAGGAGTTTTGAGTAGAGAAAACGGTTGAAGCAATCAACCGATATCCAAAATATCGTAGAACACTTCCCAAGTGTTCATTTGCCAAATGGTATTTTAATTTACTGAACTGTTGCACAACTGTAAGAAGTTATAGAATTATATGTATTATTATAGAATTACAGTATATGATGCAACTTTATGAAATCAAAACAATGGATGAACTTTGTAATTTAATGAAAGCTAATTGTTAATGGACAGCAAACAGGAAGCAGATTTGATTAATGCTTACTGACCAACTTTGCACTAACCCAATCACTGGCAAGTCCGAAGATACAACAAGCCTGATGGACTGAATAGCCTTATTCTCTGCTGTAAGACTCGATAATTACAGTAACTACTACAACAAAAATAAACTGTTCATCAGGCAGAGAGCGCAAGTCTGTTTACAGACCTGATAACCAAAACATTGAGAGAATAAGTATTACTTGTTGCACATCAAGTGGCATAATATGTTGCTACTTCAGGAAACTCTTAAAATGATCCCCCATTTCATAAAGAGTTAAAGGAAAAAAAAGGAAAAATAAGTCACCTCGGTTGGTCCAGCATACATCATGGGAGATGGGAAGATGGCCACGACAGTGGACTCTTGTTTAAGTATCCTCTCTTCCAATACAGCAGCATGCTGCTTCATTCTCCATAATAAGGGTACATCATCATCTTTCGTCCAACCACCTAGTGGATGAAGAAGAAGAACTGGACGCCTATAACCACGTTCGATCAGCTGTTGAAAGGTATCCTGCATCAACAGAGCATGTCCATTGTGCACTGGATTGCGTAGCTGAAATGCGAAGACAGCATCTAAAAGAATGAAAACAATTAGGACAAATTTAACTCCACCTTGATGTTTACTTCAACGTCACTGCCACTCCTGCAAATAATTTCAAGGTTGATCTCCAAATGAGCAGTCAGTAAAGCTCCCAGCCACAGTACACCATATATTTTATGGCCTGGAGTTTCCACTCAATTGCAGTGATTTCTCTGGCGCAATTCACCTCCATTGGCATAAACGATTACAGAATTTTAAATGCAAATTGCATGCTATGCACTTTTACATTTCTGCAATCTTTTTCTCTAGTTTTAAAAACATCCCTCTGGAGGCAGTTCCCACCCACAACACTGGTCACACCCACAGCCCCAGATTGAATTAATCACCATTTGGAGTTTCTGCTCATGCTGATTTGCAGGCAGTTGAGGATCATCCATGAGTTGAATTGAATCTTTGAAGCATCAATACATTAATAGATTTCAAACAGTTTTCCAATTCATTTGCTATACAATATAGTAATGAAATGACTACTGTATCCTAATCCAACCAGGTCACTGTTCATTGGGTAGTAAATCAAGGCTGTGGTTTATATACTTATTTTGTAATAAGCACCTGTTTACATCTCCATCCGTCAACGTTTCCGATATAGAATTAAAGCCCAGCAGAGCCGCCCTTCTATCCAATGAATACAGACTGCCTCCCTCATTATTAGGTGGCAAAGGGAAATTTCAGCTACTCTTCCCTAGAAAGTGGTTCAATAACTTTGTCTGAGAATTCAATCAGAACTTCTCCTGGATCACAACAAAATGGACAGATGGACTTCTTTAACAAACATCACTAAGATTTTTCTCAAACATCTGTCTTCCTTGAAAAAGTGCAGATTTCTCTTATTTTTAAACTCCAACACTATATATCAACATATGAATGCCTCAGTGGATGTACAGAACTTACAATCTGAACATGATTTGGACGTTCTGACTAATGTATTTCAATACTTCATTTGTTTCACGGATTGCTGTTTAGCATTCGTTAGCCAAGTGCATTTGTGCTACTTGAGTGCCAGTTTGCCTCATAGCATGAGTTGAAAGGATGATGTTTCCTACCCCGCTACTAACCTTTACTATATAATCCATGTCAGTATGAAACTGCTGTGAAAGACTGCTGGTCATTTACTATATTGACCATTTGTGTGATCCTGCATAAATTGGCTGGTGTGTTTCCCTATTAACCAGGGGCTGCACTTCAAGAGCAATCCAATAGCTGTGAACTGCTTTGGCTCGTCTCAAAGCTATGATGCATGGTACACAAGGTAAGTCCTTTCTTTTGTTTCAATTTCATGAACTATTACATCATTCGTGGTTTTGTGCTTTACTAATTTTCCATTCCTAGACAGTGATTTCCATTCGTCTGTCTTACGGTTGACTTACAATGGTTTTGCTTACTGGCATATGGAGTCCAAGTCATTTTGCATTTCCTAAGTTGTCATCAGAAATCATTGCTCAACTTGTGTTTCTGATTTAAGGTCAATTAAATAAAGCATGCTGAGTGACACTTCCAAAAATTAACCCTTGGACACACCACTCAGTTCTCTGCTTCTCTGCCCAGCCTAAAAAAGGTAGCCAATTTCTGATTCACTCCAAAAATTCATCCTGAATACCAACTGCTTGAAGTTTTAAGGGTCATCATCTCAATGTGGGGTAGTCACGATGGTTGACTCGTCTTTACCTGTCTGATAATTTCATACGTCTGCCAATTTCATAACTTAGCCAATGCTATGAAAGCGTATGATCTCATCTACTGCTATTGATTGACCACTTTCCTCAGGAGAGATCAAGTATATTGCTTATTTCAACATGGCCAATCCAGCGAGCCAATTCAAGTTTTCTTTTTAAATTCATTTGTGGAATGTGGCCGTCACTGGACCAGCATTTATTGCCTTTAGATGCCCTTGAGAAGGTGGTGATGAACTGCCTTCTGAACCGCTGCATTCCACATGCTGCAGGTTGAGACACAACATCTTTGGGGGCACATTCCAGGATTTTGACCCAGTGACACTGAAGGAACTGCAATGTATTTCCAAGTCAGGATGGTGAGTGACCTGGACAGGAACTTGCAGGTGGTGGTGCTCCTCCTACATATCTGCTGCTCTTGTCCTTCTAGAAGGAAACGACTGCGGGTTTGGAAGGTGCTGTGTAAGAATCTGAAGATATGGTCCATTTTGAGAAAAAGTCCTGAAATTTATGTCATGTTTAGACTCTAAGCACTAAACTGGGAAATCCTAGCTCTCTCGTGCCATCAGATAATATTATTCTTCACCTTCTTAAGCATACTGAAAGATACTTGAGGGGTCTGGTCACATCTTAGATTAATTCCTTATGACAACCATCGTCTTTCTACTTAGGTTTACACAACCAAAAGATTATATCAAACAAGGCATCCAAGACCTAAAAGATTGCAAGGCAAGATTGAGGAGCACCAAAAGATCAGCATGATTTAATAAACTGAGAAAAGATTGGGTAGAAAGCACCTACCATGTTCCTATGCTCTGAACTCCAACAACCACAAACAAGCTTGATGTTTTCTCTGAAATCAATTATACTGATTCACTTTTTTAAAACCATATCTTTTGTCGGTTTCTCTAGCTTCAAAAATGCAATTAAGAACATAACTTGTTGCTTGCAGCCAATCCCTTGCTTCAAAAACCTCCCCTACAATATTCGCCACAACTCCAGTCGTATTCTTCACTCAACTTCCCAATCATTTTTTAGATCCATGCCTTTGTACTTGAACCTTTTGCCACAGTAAACAACTTGCACAGAAGCCATTATACTGTCCTGTGTCAGTTGATAGTATAAATGGTCATGTCAAAAAATTATCTAGATCTTCATATCACTGTTAGCTTAGTCACAAATCATGCCAACATATCTAGCCTGATTGCAAATAATGCACATCTATTGCTGCTCCTTGTGAGTGCTGTTGATATCAAAGTGGAAAAGTACAAACTATAACATGGAGAGAGAAAAACATTGATGTTAACAGAGATACCTTCTGACATGATCCGCACTCCTGATGTATTACAGGCATGTAAATATCAACACATATGGTTGCCAGGTGGATAGTCTAATTAAATTCAGAACCTCAGCAACATTAAAGTTATATAATTGGACTTAATGAGAAACTGATTCTTAATCCCAAGATCAATTTGCTCTGAATAGGAATATTGGCTCCAAATGCATGGTCAATTTTTCAGAATGCACATGGTCACATCAAGGTTCTTTGTAATGTCCCAAAAAGAAATTCAGCACCAAATGGCTGTGCTCACTGAAATTTCAGCAAAGTAATTTTGCTGAGTGTCCTTACACCACAAAGAGACAATGAAACCAATACAAACAATCAAACTGAGGCAGTTCAGGCAAAAACAGAGCCAAACAGCAAAAAGTTTTAAAAGAGACAAAAAAATCTGCAGATGCTGGAATCCAAGGTAAACAAACAGGAAGCTGGAAGAACACAGCAAGCCAGGCAGCATCTGGAGGAAAGGAACAGTCAATGTTTTGGGTATAACCCTTCTTCAGGACTCCCAGTTTTAAAAGACTGGAATAAATGATTTACACAATATCTGGATCTAGCTAGACTATGGGTATTTGCATCAAACCATCACATGAAGCCACTTTGACTTTTTTGATCTTACTAGTGAATACAGTTTTCTCGAAACTAAAAAAACTACTTATAAACATCCCTTTAAGGTTACCTGCCATAGCTCTGAGGTGAAGCTGATAAGGCTGTTGCAGTATACAGGACTCTGTACAGCAACATTAGGTGAAGTATTTTTTACATTTTTTAATTCATATTGATACTTGCACATATTGATTCTCCTATCCAGCTGAAAGCCCTTTCAACATTCAGCCAAACCTCCATTGCACCAACATCTTAAGGCGAAGACTGCATAAAGCTATATCAACAAAAAGCCACATTAAAAACAAATGCAGCTATAAATGTCTACAAGCCAATGGAGTTGGCTGCAGTCATATTGAGCACAAGGGAAGACAGTTGTGGTTGTTGCAAATTAATCATCTCAGATGCAGGACATCATTGCAGGAATTTCTCAATGTGAGGTCCTAGGCCCAATCATCTTCAGCTTCTTCAATGACTTGCCCTCCACATAAAGTCAGGAGTGAGATGCTTGCTGATAATTGCACGGTGTTCAGCATAATCTGCTACTCAGAAACTGACACTGTCCTTATCCATATACAGTAAGACCTGAACAACACCCAGGCCTGTTTATCTCAAGTGACAAGTAACATTCACATCTCATGTGCAAGGCAATGACCATCTCCAACAAGATAGAATCTAACCATCAACCACCATCAACATCCTGGTGGGTTTACACTGACCAGAAACTGAACCGGACAAGCCATATAAATTCTGCGCCTATAACAGCATGTTACAGGCTAGGATTTATGAGGTAACTAATTCAGATATCCCCACTGCGTGTTCACTATCCATGAAACTAAGTCAGGAGGATAATGAAAACTCTCCATTTGCCTAGATGAGTCCAGTTTTGAAACTCAAGAAGCCTGACACCATCCAGTACAGAGCAGCCAGCTTGATCGACATCCCATGCTTCATTGCCTTCACCATTAACGCAGAGTTATAGGAGTAAGTACCATCCACAAGATGCACTACAACAATGCACCAAGGCTACTCCAACATCACCTTACAAACTTGTGACCTGTTCCATCTTGAAGAAGACAGGCAGCAGATACACAGGGACACTGAGATAACAAGGTGTAGAGCTGGACGAACACAGCAGGCCAAGCAGCATCAGAGGAGCAGGAAGGCTGATATTTCGGGCTTAGACCCTTCTTGCTTGGCCTGCTGTGCTCATCCAGCTCTACACCTTGTTATCTCAGATTCTCCAGCATCTGCAGTTCCTACTATCTCTGACAAAGGGACACTAACACCTGCAAATTTCTCTGCAAGTCATACACATCCTGACGTGGAATTATATCACTGGTCAGTCACTGTCACTGGG